GTAGCGCAGGGAAGGAGGAAACCTGCCGAAAGCCAGAGTGACACGAGCTGTTACCCCAGGAGCATCGGAGCACAAGCAATGGGGAGGCTGGGGATGTGACAGACCACCCCAGTGCTGGAAGCCTGGTGAGGGCTGATTTTTGGAGCTTTTTCAAAGGCAGGGCGAAGGGTGCAACAACATGAGCCTGGGGAAGCTGCCGGTGCTCAGCTGGGTGTCAGGCTCCCACGGCAAGCGGCGGCTGAAGTCGGAGCTGACGCCAGACATGATCAGCCCGCCGCTGGGCGACTTCCGGCACACCATGCATGTGGGGCGCGGCGGGGACGTCTTTGGGGACACCTCTTTCCTTAGCAACCACGGCGGGGCTGACACAGCCAAACCCAACAACTTCTTTGCCCGGACGCTGCGGCACGTCCGCCGGGCGCCGCTGAAGAGACGGGGCAGCGGGGGCCAGGCGGGCGCCTCGCCCGAGCCCCCAGCCATCTCACCCATCATCAAGAACGCCGTCTCCCTGCCGCAGCTCAACGAGGGGATGTATGACGGAGGCGGCAGCGGCCGGGGCTTGACCAGCAAGTTCTCCTTCAAAAGTGCCTCCAACAGCTTCTCCAAAACACACCAGGCCTACGGTGAGTGAAGCAGAGGCTGGCACCCAGTCACTGAGTATCCTCTGGGGCCCTTCTCCATTGCTCCGTGCCTCAGTTTGTCCCAGTTAGGGTTTTAAGGAGAGATGGCGTATTCAAGACTGCCCAGTCTTGATAATCCCTCCGAGTTCTGAACCATGATCCTTGCTCCTGCTCTTGGAGATTCTCCTCCCAGGGTGTCCCTCAAAGTGGGGCAGGGATGGTTTCTCTGTTTCTCCCCCTTTCCCATAGCCCCACACAGCTGGCAGCCTGTGTGGAGCAGCTGTGAGGGAGCACCCCCCATCTACCCTCAGCCCTACACCTTTCACTTGAGCAACCTCCTTGAGGAAGCCAAAAAGGTGCTGGGACAGTGAAGCGGTTCCCACTCCAAGGTTGTGAGGTCAAGGGGACCCACAGCATGGCCTTCCCCACCTCCACACAGATGCTCTAACCCTCTACTACCTAGCTGTGCCAACCTCTATATCTCCATGTCCTGCTCCCGAGGGATTCCATCCCCCCCTTCTCCATGCATGTCCACATCCCTCCCTGCCAGCCACGGTGCCCTTTGGGGAAGGGTTGTGGGAAGGATGGGACAGGACATCTGTGTGGCTCCTCTCCAGCCTCACAGCGCTGGGCTGTGCTCAGCCTTTCCCCAGGGAGGGAGGTCTGGAGCAGAAGGTCTCGGGGTGGATCTGGGGTGCCTGCAGCGGCCAGGGGAGGTGGCCAGGCTCAGAGGGAAAGGCAGGCTGAGGCAATGCTGCCATCTCCTGGTCTCACCTGCCTGGCTCAGCCCCCACTGCCATCTTACCAAGCCCAGAGCCCACCTGGAGACCCTCTGCTGTAACTCTGGGCTTCGGAGATGTCCACAGAGACACTGACCTGTCCTGTAGAGGCCAGTGCCACCGACAGGAGCATGACCTGAGCCACTTTGGCAGCAGTGTCCCTTATCCCCTGCAGAAGTAAGTCAGGCTTCCTCCCTTGCCTCACCAGCCATACCTTCTGCCTCACAGGGCTGGAGTCCGGATTTTGTACCATCCCTCGTGTCCCTCGCTTGGAAAAGGCCCAAGAGAGCACCCATCCTGGGGAAGATGAGCTGGATCGCTCCGACTCCCTGCTGTCCTTCCGCCTAGACCTGGGGCCCTCCCTGATGAGCGAGCTCCTCCAGGTGATGAGCTTCTCTGAAACCAATGGGAACGAGGTGGGGGAGGATGGCCCACACTTCCTGTGTGAAGAGGAGACCAAGGACAGGGTCCCTCCAGCAGTGCATGCGTCCCACAAAGAGGACAAGGCAGCATCCAGCTTCTGGGACCACTCCAGGCAGAGCAACCTGTCAGGGGCCAGCTCGCTGCCGGGTCTGTCGGTCCATGCCAACGGAGAGGCACACAGCATCGAAGGCGCTGGAGCGAACTCTGTCCGGGCTTCAGGGCCGGGGGCGGCGCCCAGAGGGTCCCCGTGGCAGGCCCACTGGAACGACTGCACCATTGAGGCTGGAGAATTTGACCGAGCAGCCCAGGTCCTGGCCCGCCATTACGGTGGGACCAGCACCCCACGGAGCTCGGAGAAGGGCGAGGGTCCCCGGCAGGCCCGGACACAGACCCTGTGGGAGAGCCCCAGCAGCAGCTTGTGGGGGTCGCAGGTGACAAGGGAGAGCCGGTCCCCCGAGGCCAGCTGGAACCAAGGAGAGGAGGAGGAGGAGGAGACCAAGCTCTCCAGCCTGCAGGAAAGCTGCAGCGGTGCCCGGGGGGGCCGCAGCAGTTCCTTCGAGTATGCCGATGAGGAGGAGGAAGAGGACGATGAAGTCAAGGTGTGAACGGCCATCCCTCCCATCACAGGCCCCACCAGAGACGCTGGTGCCAGGGTCTTTGCCCTCCTCCCTGTGCCCCACCCGCTGGTGCCAGTGTCACCAGTAGACCCAGTGGGTCTCTCCTTGCCAAGTGGGGGCACTGGGCAGGCCGGGGAGGGCAGGGGGAGAGCCCGTCTCCTGGGGGGCTCTCTGGGGCTGGGCCAGGCTGCTGCAGAGGGCAGTGGGCACCACACAGCCAGGCATAGCAACCCTTCTCCAGCCTCACGGCCATGAGACATCAAAGGAACATTCCCATGTGCCAAAGGAACCCCAAATCCTTCCTACCCCTTCCCATTCTCCCCAGCACCCTCTCTCTTAGCCCTCAGCCTGGCTCCACCAACATGTCTGGGGACATACTCCATCTTCCCACTGACGTCCCCAGCCACCCCCTGCAATGGCATATGTGCCTCCCCAGAGATATTCCCACTGATAGCTCTGGCATGTAGGGGATGGGGTCTCCCCAGCTCCAGCTGGTGCAAGACCCTTCAGTATAGCACATCTATCAACAGAGAAAGGTCAGCTGGGGTCCCAAGGGGCAGGCAAACCCTACAGAGCTGAGCTTTCTCTTTTCCCCTGCCCCCCCCCCCACCAAAAGCTGTGTGTGCTCAGTGTTCGGGAGGTGAGAGCATGCACAGAAATAATGAGGAATCTATCCACTTGCCTCCTGCTGCTGGGCATCACTTAGGACAGCTTCCTTCCTGACCCCTGCTCCTCTCAGCAATTGAGAGGGGAGAAACTTCCTGGCTGACTGGTGGCAAAGGCAGGTTGTCAGATCACCAAATTCTGCAGTTCAGGCTCTAAAAACCCCTTCTTTTCCCCCTGCCTCAGAACAAGGAGGCTCCTCTGCAGCCACTTGGCTTGTGCCACTATCTTCGTGGTGGTGGCACAGTTTGTGTCTCCATCCTTGTCCCCCTCCCCATTCCCCACACACCCCCCTCTTTGCAGCGCACCCCTTCCCAAGGGTATAATGTGGCCCGTGGCTAATGTCCCTCTCTGAGTGTCCCTGGGTGACACAGCCGCCCTGGAATGAGCTGCTCCCCACGCTGGCCCGTGTGCAAAGTGGCCCTCATAGAAGCGCCTTTGTGCCATGGTGTGGAGCCGACGTGCTCGGGGGCTGAGGTCACCGCAGGGACCCTCACAGGACCCCCCTTGTTCTCTGGGACAGGAGGGGGTGTGCAGTGGGAGGAGATGCTGGGCCATGGCTGCAGGACTCTGCTCCCACTCAGCTTGCCCGCCACCCAGCTGCTTTTGCTAGGAAGCTCTTCAGAGCAGGATAAAGAGCTCCAGGGTGTGCACATACCGCATGTGGAAGTGCTACTTGCAGCCAGGCCACCCAGGTTAAGGGCAAGCCTGTGTTCCCCAGCCTCCCCAAGGGGCTGCCTCTTGCCAGCCACCAGCAGCAAACCAGGGCAGGCACCAGCTTCAGGAAGTCCCCAGGTCTGGCCAGTGGCACCCAGCAGGATCAGCCTTTTTCTCCCTTGCACCTTCCAGGGTGGGGACCTGGGCTCTCAGGATGAGCTCCCCTCTGCCCTCTGCTTTCCAGACCATAACACAAGACCGAAGACCTGTATCTGTGGAATTATCCTTTCTGCCTCCCCTCTGTATCCCATGCACTTATTATTGTCCTTATTAAAACAGTTTTGATACTAACTTCTCTGGTGCATCCCCTTGGCTGCTTTGACCATTTTGTCTTTCTTGCTATGTTGGCTGGAGCCCCAGCCACCAGCCCCTCCATCTTGGGCAGTGAAGACGTGGAGAGAGAGGGCAGGGACACTGCCACCTTGCCATGGACCAGGCTCTCTGTAAGATGCTCTTCCACTCTGCTCTCCTCCCATGCAGCCTCAAGTGTCCCAATGTTTACTGTCACACATCAGTGTGACTTTAGGCTGGCAAGATACTTTTCAATCAGAGCAGCAGGATGTAATAATTGGGACTATTTGTAGTCCTGTGTAAGGAGGTACTGAGCCACGTAACTGAGCCCAAATCCCACTGCCTCCCCTGCCCCATATTCGATGAGTAGGATCCGCTGTGGAAACGTCAGAGTAATGGCCAACCTGACTGGAATGCACCAGCAGGTAAGTGAGGTGAGGTAAAAGGGAAAGTTGGAAATGATCCCTTATCTATGGCAGGAATGCTGGCTGGGGGCATGCCTGTGCTGCCATCCCCATGCCACCTTTTAATTACGGACTTTTGTAGCACCAAATGCCGCATCAAATGCCACTTCATTCACATTTATGCCTTCTTTCCCATTTGATGTATCTCCCCTTCCCAAAAGCTCGGCTGCAGAAGGAAATGGAGCATTGTGAAAAGATCACACAACAGTTTCCCAAACTATCATACAATGTCCTCATCCTGAGCCCCACCTACAGCCTGCTTTGGCCTACCTACTATCCCTTCAACCCCACGGCCTGTTCTGACCTGGAAGGTACCTGGAATTATCCAACAATGGCTTCTTTCCTATTGGTGGGAGAACCTTGGGCTTTGTCAGTGGCTTGCACAGAGCTCTCACAGAAGAAAAAGCAGTCTTTCACTGGCTTGGGATTTTATTAGAGCTAGGAAGCAGTGCCCATCAGAACAGCTTGAAGGAGACCATCTTTAAGCCTCCCACGATGCTTATGTAGTTGATCCTGTGGTAGCCGTGCCGGTTGGGGAAGTACACTTCATAACCATCCGGCAGTTTCACACGGAATCTGTCTGACAGCATTTCAATGAAGAACTGTGAGAAAAAAGAGAAAGAAGGGCAGGAGCTGAGGGCAAGGAGGGTATTCAGAGGTCAGCATCTAGGCAAAAGGCCTGACTGTTACATAAGAGTGGCTGTTACCTGTCCGCTGCAACCTTAAGCAAGGTGCTGGGGGTTGAGGCAAGGGTGATTCAGGAAGTGAGCAGTAGATATCAAGGGTCTAAGCAGGAATACAGACTATGATTGGAGACAGGATCTCTCCCGAGGCTGTTTCAGCTACTCAGATTGTAAACTCAGAGCAGCTAAACTCAAGTGTGTCTTTACAAGTCTTTATAGAGCATATGGAATGTGCACACCACCGTTCTGCTCTGAACAGGGCAGAATTAATCTGACCCCCAATGCCCTCAGCAGCTCACCAGTACTCAGAAAAAGGAACTTTGCTGATAAACATGCACAAGCAGACTGGACAAGAATGCATCACTGGTCATTGCAAACTAAAGGCAATGTTCCCCAAAGCTGTCGCCTCGCTACACCTTCCCCAAGAGCCAGTTCTGTCTAAGGAAACAAGCTTTCTCTCCACAGCTACAGGAACTGGACTACTCCTAAATGCACCCCTGTTAATGATTTAGGACGTCAGATAAAGTGAAGCAGCAACTAGGACGGCATCCATGGCAGGAAGAGAGAAAGAACAGATTGGCAGCATGGATCCAGGAGTAATGAGGACAGAAGAGTTGAGGGAGAGGCTTTTGGACGTTGCTCCAAACTCTGGGCTGCCTTGAAGCCTGTGTTTACATAGGGGGGAGGGAGAGAAATAAGGTAGACAGCAGCAAGATTCTGCTTCTTGTAGACTCCCTTTACTTTCATACATGCCCCAGGTACACTCACCTGCTGGGCAGATGGAAGGGCCAGGAAGCGCTTACAAAGTGTGAGACAGACAGGACTCACATAAAATTCCCAGAAATGCTATTGCAGTATTGAACGAGGAGTGGAAATGGCAATCAGGACCAAAAGCCCAGAAAATGAGGGGCAATTGTGAGTGAGCAGGAGGTATCGGGTAGGACCGGGAAAACTATGGTATGGGAACCTGCTAACCGGGGGCTTCCTCTCACCACACATTCCCCACATAGCCCATACCCACCACACACACCACACATGCCCCATAACCCCATGCTGGCACAGACCCCTCACCTTGACGGTGCAGCCCCTGAAGAAAGAGAGGTGGCGGTCACGATGTTCCGTCTGCCAGGCGTCGGAGCACTTGGAGTTACAGACGATGACAGACTCATTGAAGCGGGGATTGAAGTGAAATGCCAGATCTCTGGAGCTGCAGCCAAGATTGACACTGAAGCTGTAAAATGAGCATGAGGAAAGTCATATGCATGGACAGGAGAGGGTTTTGAGATCCAACACACCTCTCTGCACCCAGTTCCTCCCATCAGTGTTGCAGGTGGCAGAACAATGTTCTATTTTGTATCTGGCAACCTTGGGAAACCATTTTCCTCTACACCCCACCTTCAACCCTGGCATGCCAAGGTGGTTTCTTTGTACTTACCCAACAGCATCAGCAGGTATTTTGCCCTTCACCTTCAGGGTGTCCCCAGGCTTCATATCCAGGTTTAAGATTTCGATATTTCCCTAAAGTAGAGAAAAATAGTCTGTGGGGCTCCTTCAGCCATTCCTCCTGACTTGCCACTGAAACTGAGAGGGTGCTGCTTGGAGGTATCCCACCCAGGACACTGCTCTCAGCTAGTGCTCCTCTGATGACCAAAACCCTCCACGCTGCAGGTCTTGCATGAACTTCTCATTCAGTGAGAGAAGAGTGAGGTGAGTGAAGCCCGCAAGAGAGAAGAGACATCGGAGAGAGAGGAAGTGAAAACAGGCTTGTTCTCAGCAGAAGGAAAAGAAAGCAGGACAGCCGAGATACAAAGAGGGTTAAAGCAGAGGGGCACTGCCCAGGGTTTGGTGGAAAGCTGATGCTGCCCAAGAAATGCAAATGGTGAGAGTGGCTATGACTTGCCAGTCTCACTCAGCTTTGCTGAGCTGAGGACCCTGGGTGACAGAGAACAGGAGCAGCAGCCCTTACAGGCATCTTCCTCAGAGGGCAGAGTAACCAGGCAGGGAGAAACCAGCAGTTCAGCTCAGAAAGGCTTTGCACATAGGATCTTACAGCCCTAAACTTCCCTGTGGTTTATACATTAACATGACCCCTGGCTCTGCAAAGCTCCAACAGCTGTTGTTAGGCCAGAAGACTTTGATCCAAGGAAAAAGCTTATATGTACACTTCTCACTAGGGATTCCAGGAAATAAAACCAAGTCCCAGCCTCCTTGGTGGGCTCCCAGTGGAAGGACTATCACACACAGCCCCTAGGGGTGCTACTTTAGACATGACATATGACAAATCTTCCCAACTATCCAAGGAGGTGTGACCACCATGTTCACTTCTCTCCTGTGTGCAACAGCTCACCCAAAAGAACATCCCAGCTCCTTCCTTTTGTGGCAAAAGGCAGCTCCAAAATCCATACCAGCACACAAAAAGGTCTCCACCATCCTTCCCCACAGTGCTCCAAGGAAGGGCTCAAAGGGGCTTGGAGGAGGGGACAACCAACACATCCCCTCTAGATGGCATGAACTATGGAGTGTCCTTTGCAGGAGTGACATGGTGGCATCCAAGCTTCTTCTCTTCTTGTGCCTCTAGATTCAGCCTCAGCTGCGTGGGTTGCAATACCCATGTGTGGTAGCTCTCTGCAACCTCCCATCCAAGCCCCATGTAGACACAAACCTTTTAGCCTGAAGAGCCAGACACCAGGCCACATCAGGTTCAATTGTTCCCATCCTCCCTAACCCTTGAACTTGGGAATGTCATCCTCACAGGCAAGTATCACCCCTGCTGTCTTCTCCCCAGGTAGGAGCTACACTGTAAGTCAGTAGACAGTGTCCCTGACTTGTAAGACTCCAAAAGTCAAGTGGAAAAGAGAGACAGAGGAGGAGGTCAAGGCTCAGGAGCCCAGTAGTCCCTCAGTCCCCCTCCCAAGCCCTGCAGGGAGCACCTGAGTGCAGTCATCCTGCTGCTGCACAGACAGCTGGGAGACAGTTTCTACCCTTCCCTAAAACATCCTGAAGAAAGGAGAAGTGAGTGCTGATAAGCACTCCTTCCCTGGAGGTGTTTCCCACAAGCAAGGGGTCATAAAGTCCAGCAGGCTTAGGAAATTCGTTTTCTGTGGAGGACTCTGAAACTCTGGGAGAAACCTCCATGGGCTGAGCATGGAGCCAGCAGGAACCAGTGCTAGGGATGGTGTTTCTTGGCATTGGGTCTCCTTCCCACCACACTTCTGTGTCCAAGGCACACCTCTACACACCTCCACATCTTCACACTGCTCCCCTGCAGCCATCCCAGGGATAATACAGAGCTATGGGTCCCCTTCTCAAATATTGGAGCAAAATTGAATGGCTGGCTAAATTACACAATAACTTGCTTTTTATCTGGGGAGTAAGGATTTGCTGTCTGGAGGGTATCCTGGGTATTCCAGTCTTAGTAAATATACCCAGGAGAAGGGGGTCTTCTACAGATTTAAGCAAAAGCAACAACAAAAACAAGCAGCAATTGCTTAATTTCATTAAATATAAACATATTAAACCAAGGCATATCTTTCCAACACAGTTTATAAATGCTGCACTTGTTAACCTTCATTACTTGGTTAAATTTGTAAACAAAACTTACAGATACATACAGAAATTAAAACCCCCAAAACACAGTATGCACAAAAGCTAAAAACCTGAGCTGTGGATGCTCAAAGTTGGAATAGGAGAACCCTCAGCTCTAGGTGCACTTTGTAATATGCAGGATGCCTATAACCTGGAAAAACCATAAAATGGAATCACTCAGTTTCCATCTAACCAGTGCACAATGGGTTAACAGAGGGCATTCTCCATCTCACAGTAATTCGATGGATTTTTTCAGAACTATCTTTCACTTCCCAAACATAACACAGAAAACTTTGGTTCTGCCACCACCCCATTAATACCTGCAGCAGTGGGTATTGTTAATCTAATCAAGTCTTGGTTTAGATTTTAGCTTTGCTGTGCTGATATAAATTTGACAGACTCACCAGGAGGGTTCAGGTGGCTTCCCAGAGGTTGCTCCAACCCATCTGATATGGCACCCATAATTCCCTATTTCCTGGGCAAATTCATACCAGGCAGGTATGTGAATTTGGTCTATAGGTGGTTGTGCCACTGCTGCAGTAATACTCATGGTGCCATCCATTTGTATGTGATCTCGGGCATTAGAGAAACATTTTCAGCCTATCTGGAAGGCCATGAAGGGGAGGAGTTAATCTGGCTGGACTGGCAGGAGCTACCGTCAGGAATCACCTTAACTGATGTCTTTTGTACGTTGCTTAAATACACACTGCCTTTTGCACAGAAGCTGCCAGAACTGAGAATCCTGATATTTTAAACTGCATTAGGCTTTCTTGTGTCCTGTGGGTCCATGCTCCTAGCCCAGTAGGCAGCTCAGGTTGTTGATGAGTAGTTACGGTTACCTGAGGTAGTAGTTAAAAATACTCTATGTCACCAGAATCTTTCTGCCTCTTCCTCACTCAGCAACATCTGATCTCTACCCATAAAGGAAACTTGCATTCAGTTTTGTTTCCCCCTGAACATCTAGAATGTTCTTCCAGCAATGTATCTTCCTCTGTGGGGAACAGCAATGTGGGTTTCTCCACCCCCCTCACCCACAGTTTCTGTTTCAAATAAAGGCTGAACTCTTACTGCTTTTGGGGTAGGGTCAGAATCTGCCTCTGAAAAATCATCAAAATGATGACCAAATGTCCCCATGCTGTGTTTCAGGATCCTCAAAAATATACCACCCTATAGACGTGCTGGACTGAATTAGAGGATGATTCATGTGGGATTTTATCAAGTAATTTACCTAGATTTTTCTGCATCTCTTTTTCTCATATTTCAGCTGCAGACAGTAGTTCTTCTAATTGCTCATTTTTATTTAAAATAATATTTACTAGTTATTACAATTTCTCCTGTGTCTTTTTCTCAAAAGACAATGCCATTCTAAGAACCTCATTTTCTGACTCCGAAGTCATATATTTTACATCTGCAACTCATTTCAGATGGCAGGAAGCTTTTCATTTCCTTTTGCACGCAAGATAAACAACCTCCCAAAACTGCACAAATAACTTAACTTCTTACCTTTAATGGGCAACTTACCTTTTCCTCATCCCATTTTTCACTTGACCTGCAAACTAGCATTGTGATCAGCTATTGCCTGTACATTACCACAATTAGTTTATGCCCACTCCAACCCTGGAGGAGAGAGGCAACTACCAAGCTTCTCCAGGAGAGAGTAAAACTTTAGCCTTACACCGGTCATCCTTGGTAACCATTTTTCCTTTAGTTTCCATTGGAGGGAGACAACCTGGGCACACCAGGCAGGAGAAAGCTGTCACCCACAGAGGGACAGTAAAAGTAACAGTAAAAGTTTGGTCAATCTCCCTCAGAGGGTGAATCTCCCACCAGGCAGGAAGAACAGTAAAAGTTCAGAACTGTTAAATGGCACTTTGGGTCAGAGAACAGTGATGCCTATTAAAACGCTACAATTCACTGTTGAAGTTCTCTGCCCGAATTAAGGTGCAAAGGAGACTAAATGCCAGTTCAACAATGCTGACTTTATTTGACAAAATTAATCTTATATGGAAACGAGAAAGAGACAGAGAAAGTGAGAGGGGGAGAAGAAGAGAGATAGGGCAAGAAGAAGGCAGTCACCTCCATGGTTCTATCAGCCTCCCACTGGTCCTTCTGTTCCTTGGGCTTCTTGATGGTGGTGTCTTACCCAGTTCACTTTATTTCCTGACTAATTCTTATGCAGTCCTTTATTTTGGTAAAAAGTAGAGGTAGAAGTGACTTTCAATTCCTCATTAGCATGTGAGGCAAGAGTAGGCATGGTTCTGCCATCACACATACTCAAATCTTAATTTGACAGTCACTGGGGGTCTGTTCTGGGGGTTGTGCAAGGCAAGTACCTCTAAACCCAAGTGTCCTATTTGTGACCCCACTTCTTGCACTTGCACAATTCCTTGCACTTGCACAGTAGTTCACTTCTTATCTAACACACCACGGTTGAACTTTGACCTGAACTGCAAAAAGCCGAAACCGAAACCGTGCGTCCTTCATGGGTTGTGCATAGGGCACTTGTGACCTTTTTTCTGCAACACGTTCACCACCAAGCCCTTGTCGAAGGCATATACTGCAAATTACTAACCCTACCCTTACAGCTGCCTGAGAGGGAGAGCAGCATGTGTCTCTTCCTGTGTCCAGTTCTGGGCTCCTCAGCAGTACAAGTGAGACATGGAGTTCCTGGAGAGGGTCCAGCAGAGGGCTGTGGAGATGATGAAGGGATGGAGAATCTCTTTTATGAGGAAGGGCTGAAGGAGCTGGGTCTGTTCAGCCTTGAGAAGAGACAACTGAGGGGACCTCATCAGTGGCTGAAGGGAGAGTGACAAGAGGTTGGGGCCAGGCTCTTCTCAGTGCTGCCAAGCAATAAGAGGCAATAGGCAGAAACTGATGCACAGGAAGTTCCACCTGAACATGTGGAAGAACTTTACTGTGCAGTGACCACACACTGGAACAGATTGCCTAGAGGGGTTGTGGAGTCTCCCTCACTGGAGATAATCCAGAACCATCAGTAATCCTGTGCCTTGTGCTCTGGGATGGCCCTGCTTGAGCAGGGAGGTTGGGCCAGATGACCCCTGTGGTCTGTTCCAACCTGACCCATTCTGTGATTCCTGTCTGAGGGACAAGTAAAACTACCCGTGCAGAGAGCTGAGCCACAAGTACCATGGATGTAAGAATATGGAGAGAGGGAGACAAGCAGGAAAGAGGCATGAGCTGCTCAGAGAGGGGCCATGAGATTTTATCAAGATAACATTTACCCCCTCCTACAATGCTCAGCAGGGGCGTTCACCCCCTTTTTATTTGCCACTGGGAACAATAGTGGGAAGCCAGGCAGCAACTCTGCCAGCACTGGCAACTTCCTTCGTCTGCAGAGCTGAGCCTCCATACAGTCAGACACCAGCCCTGTGCAGATGGGGTCCCTTGTGCAGGGGTATGTGCTCCCAGCACTGGAAGGGGATGAGACTTTAGGGACCCCAGAAGAGTCAAAATTCTCCACTACAGTTGGAGAATTTTGGAGGTGGCAATTGGGATGATGAAAGGATGCCCCTGTCACCCTGACAGGGGCAGGTTGATATTTCCCTGCTGACACTGCAAAGCAGAAAGCCTGGGGAAACAATGATAGCATGGGAATGTAAATCCCAAAGAAAGAGGAAATCCGGCTAATGAGCATCTGCAAAAGAGATGGAGGATCTGTGTAGTAAGGAAAGCATAAACAATAGCTGTGGAAGCTGGCAGCCACTGGTGCAAAGGATCCAGGAACCCTTCACTCCCCAGAGAGATGATCCTATAATAGGATACCTGATTGGGAGTACCTCTCCAGGGCCCCTGAGATTCTTACCCAGGCCAGAGGGCAGTTGGCTTGTACTGGTACAGGACACCCATGTTCACACCACTGTGACCAAGGCATCACTTGCTGCCTTTGCCCAGAGGGACAGCAAAGACCCAACAAGTAGTCACTTGGTGTGAGGGTGGGGGCCACATGCCACCCAAAGGGCAGGGTGAGCTTCCAACAGGGAGCAGGCAGGCCTGCAATTTTGCATGAAGAAAACAAAATAACCCCAAACACATTTTAAGGAGGGAAGAGCCTAATGCAAGCATGTTGTCTTTCAGCTGGGAGGATGGCAGGGCAGGTGCTCTGCAGAGTGCTTTCACCTCATAAAATGCAGTAGCTCTATCTGCAGAAGTCCCACATGGTAGATTTTGGGGTCAGCAATCTTTCCCAGCCTTCCTGCTATTCCTGAGGCGATCTCAGGCCACCGGGAGCACCAGCAGGATCTCAGGAGCCTTGGGGTGTCTCCACCAGCAGCACCATTTGTACCATAGCCTAGAGCTGCCACCTCTACCACAGGGCACCCATACAGCTGTTGAGAACAGACTGAATTCCACCATCCCCAGCAAGCTGCCAAGATCCTCAGCAGCATCATTTCTGGCAGCAGTATTTATTTTGTTTTCTTATTTGGGCAGGAGATAAGCCAGCTAGGTGTGAAGCCCTGGGGAAAACCACAGACTTCCCCACTTCCCAGCCAAGGTAGACTCAGCGGTTAGAGGATTCTCAGGGCCTTTTGTGGCAGAGACAGCCCCCAGAATCCACACCAGCACACCAAAATCATGCCCACCATCTCTCTCGACAGGATTCTGAGGAAGGGCTGCAAGTGGCTCCAAGGAGAGGGTAGCAAACACATTCTCTCTAGACAAGGTGAGCTATGAACTGTCCCCTGCAGGACTGACACAGGTCACCACCAGAGATAACGCTCAATCCAGAAGGCATGAGGAAGACAGGGGAAGGCAAGGCAGCCATGCTGGGTGCTTGGATGCATGTGCCCACATCAACCCAAGCTCTGCAGGAAGAGGGGAGAGATCCCTTTAGCATCCTGATGGAAGGCTTGGTGCTAGCTAGGCACCAAAGAAGTAGCACTGGAGACTCACACTGTGGCATGGATAAGGTGCTTGTCCTATACTGCACTCCAGGCACCAAGGGAGCCTGTGCCTTGGACCAGGCATCAGTGTCTGCTCAAGGCAAAGGGAGCTGGGGAGACCAACCATGCATTCTTTCTCGGAGTAGCAGCTGCTTACTCTGCTATTATTTCCTACCGCTTCATATAATTTGTACTCCACAGCAAGCTATTGTCCCTTTCCACTGGCTATTTATTTCCTTGAATAGCCTCTGGGGAAAGATTTCAGTGCGGGAGTAAAGAAAAAAGAAAAACTCCACACAATAAATCTCAAGCAGTGACCTGATTTAAACTGTGTTCTCTGACCTCATCTGGGCCCTGGTTGTGGTTCCTCATGGCAGTTGTGATTTAGTCCTGTTTCTGTTTTGATTTCCTCCCTTCATTAAGTTTAAGGGGGGGAATGACCCCTGCCTTAGAGGGCTGTGGGCTGGATTTTCAAAGGCCAGGGCTCAGGATACAACTGAGAAGAAGCCTCCACCACCTCCTAATGGAGATGCTCAGTCCTCCACCTGCCAGTACAGAAATTCCCGAATAGGACTGGTTTCTCCTTTAGTCAAGAGGTGTTGGTTGGCCTCTCAGCAGAGAGTGCTGCAACCTACACCCAGCTGATCCCCGAGCTCTGAAAGCCAGCCAGCTTCCTAACGGAGGAGGACAGAAAGAACAAAGAGTACTTACCTCAGACAAACACTGAGGTAAGCAAGAAACTGGGTAAGCAGGTCTGTGGATCTGAAGGTTGTGTACAGGAGAGAATTGTCCAGGAGATGCAGGAGAAGCCAAAGCAAGGATGAGCACAAGGAAAAGGTGCCCAGGAGCACTAAGCTCCTGCCTAAGATGTCACCCAGAGTGGGATGGGATTTCTCCTCTGGAGAAAGCGCTGGTCTCCACATTCAGATCAAGTAAAATGGGAAAGAACAAAGGACTAGAGGTTAACCTCCTCCTACCCCAGCTCCCTCACAGGGCACCATCCAGAGCACCTGTGGAAAGTACTGAAGTAGCATCCATGATCTAAACCAGAAGGCAAGACATTAGAGGCCAGTGTCCAGTAGGCTCTCCACAAACATCATCCCTCTTCAGCTGTAGGGTGCAATTTCTCTTCCTTGGGATGTGGGGACAAAGATAGCTGAAGAACTAAAATGTGGGGGAAAACCAACACCTTTCTTCAGGGCTAGGGACAGCAGTGAGAGAGGTAATCTGCATCAAGCAGTGGAGCAGATGAAGAGCACAGGGAACAAATTCAGCCTCATACTCCATCTCTCTCCCTCCCCTATCAGAAGGGTGGTGGTGCCACAGTGGCTGGCACCTCCCATCTCCATGGGGGAGCTCAAATGTGCTCTGATGGATGGTTTTCAGGTTATGTCCATTTACCTTTGCTGGGGGTGTCTCTCTCAAGGCAGCTCTGAAGACTGTGGAAACATTTTTGTGTGGTCTGATTTGTGCCCAGGGAAGGGGAGAAAGGTGGTTTGTTTGCAAGGAAGTTGGTTCATAAGGGGTCATTTTTATCAACCCAAGCAGCCAGATGAGTCATGTCTTCTGTGTCCCCAGCTTGGCTGAGGGGCAGGAGAATGAACACAACTGGCAGAGAGTAGAGAAAGGAGGTCAGAGGACTGATGATATACCAGCCAGTTCCATTTCCAGATTTCATTTCCCTAATTCTTTCACTCATAGGTGCATGCCAGGAATATGGGTTGTGGGAAAGGCTTTCAAAAACACACCTGGAGATAAAAATTCACTTGTGTTGAAAGCTTCCCTACTGGAAAAGAGAAGACTTATAGAAAGCTCACAGCTTCCTTCTCTCTAGGACTTTTGGGATCACCCAGCTTTACCCACGTCTTCTGGATATTATTAGCTTAATGGGAAAAGGATCTTCCAAAGAGCCCTCCACAAAGGATCAGCTTCATGAGGTCTTATGGTCCACTTGTGTCTTCCACCAAGAGATTAACATCTATAACAGCTTTATCTTACCATTGAGCAAGGAAGACAGCAGCTCCCTCACATGAGGAAATTGAGGCACAGACACCCTAGTTCACATCCAAAATCAGCTTCTGTTTGGATTCTCATCTTGAAGTTTCCATGGCCACAAAATCAAATCAAATCAAATCACTTTGCAAACCTGAACAAAAAGCTAAAAGGAAGCTGTGCTCCCCTAGCTGATACAGCTGGAGTATCAAAGATGCTGATCCCTCATCAAACCATCTACTATTTGCAGGAGGTACTGAGGCATTCAGTACCTCTGGAAAAAAATCAGCCCTTGGGTGGGTCCAATTAAGGCTGAAAACCAGAGGCATTCAAAGAACAGAAGCCTTCCTGCAGGGGAAGCCATGGGACTTTCAAGATGCCCCAAGCCCAACTTTGCTGACTTCAAGGGGACCATTTCCCACAACAGAGGCAGCATGAGAACAGCTGGCTGGAACTAGAATAAGCAAAAAGGAAATGCAGCATTGCACCATTATACAAAAGGGCCTTGGGGACCTCCCTCCACAGAGCAACCATCCTGGATTCTACCCCACAGCACAGCAAGGACAAGAAGTGAGAGTGACTGCTGAGTCTCCATCCCGCATAGGGACAATGGGGCTGTAGGACTCACTTTCAGATTGTTTCTCACGGCTTCCAGCGCTGAGCCCAGGCAGGTTGGACAACTCTGAGGACTTGCAGGAATCTTTCAGACAAGCAGAATCCATCTGAGTCACACGCACACGGCACAATGCCAAGGGTGGCTCATCCACTGGAAAAAAAAAAAAGAGAGAGAAAGAAATGCTAAGGGAGAAATAGCAAGTTTTGAAAAGCCACAAGAATTAACAGCTCATAGGCTGGAAAGAAGGGGAGCAAAAGAAAAAGTCTATTCTCCCATGTTCACGTCACTAAAGCCAAGTATCCTTCATCCCCACTGGGGAGCAGCAAGCCACCTTACCACACATTAGCTTTGAGAGCATCTGAAGGGGCAACCCACCCTGGATCTAAGGCCGTGACTGAGGTCTGCAGAGGAAGGGGTTGTCAAGTCAAAACTATCTGTTGCTGCAAAATCAGCTTGAACGAACTCCCTTTGATGGCACTGCAAAATGAAACAGTAAAAACCAAACCAGATGAACATGGGAAAGAAAAGCTGCCAAAAAAAGGGAGTCCAAATCCCCAAATGACTGACTCAGTGCAGGAAATGGGCATCCAAAGAGGGAACTGCAGGCATCTGTAGGAGATCTAAGAAAAGACCAGGCCCACACAAATGACTCTCCGTATTCCTCTTCTCCCACTTTTCAGAGGGAAGGGCACCAGAAATACCTGAACCCATGGACCTTCAGAGTGAGACACAGGGAAAGAGCTGGGCCACAGCACTGCCCTGAGATATTTAATCTACACAAAACACTCCAGTGACTGCTTTGCACTGATGGGACAGCTATTCTCCCTTTCCAGCACTACACTGGACACTAAGGGACACCCTGTCCCATACAGGCACCCTGCCCCTCCTCTGGACTGTGCCCATGAGCATCTACTCTTGTTTCTGATCCATGGAGCCAGTAGTACATAAGCCCTCACTTGAGCACAGTGGATGTTTATTTTGCATTCCCAGCAGTCATGCCAAGTTCTTTGTTCTCTCTGGCTCTCTTTCCCTTCCTTCCAGCTTGTGCCTTTTCCTGCTGTCCTTTTTTTCCTCACCACTGGCAACACGCAGGGGCCAGAACCTGGCAGTGCTCCTCTAGCTGCCCCCAAATTTCTTTGTGCTGCTCCCCTCCAGGAGAGCCCCCAGCAGCAAAACAAACACCAGGCTTTAATTGCAGTCAGATTCCTGGAGGGAGGATGCTTGCTCCAGAGAGGGGAAAAGAGTATTTGAAATTAAATGCCTTCAGTGCGACTCACCCCAGACTAATCATATCCCAGGCTGAATAGCCTCACACTCGTTGCCAACAAACAGACTCAAACAGACTTCCCAAGCTAGGAGATCTGATAAGCACAATGTGAGGACGACAGGTGGCTGCGACTGCCAGGCAAGTTCCCATCTGCAGGAAGGGAGCTTATCTCTTCTGTCAAGATGGGACACACATACACTTCTGCTGCACAACAGCAGGGAAAAGCTAGTGGAGACCTGCTTTCTTGTCCTGAACATGCACGTAGCACTGCTTACAACACCATCCCTGAGGAACATCTCTATTATTCACTCGGCCTCATTAGGAAAGGCGTGGGAATCTTTCCTGAACAGCTCTGTCAGAGACACAGCTTCCCTGAGAGCCGGCTCAGGATGAGCTGAAGAGTGCCTCACACCAGCTCTGGACGCCAGCAGGAGAAGCACAGCAGAGAAGAAGTCTCATGGCCTACTCTTGAACCATGCTGTGACACCACAGCTTTCAACCCTATCAAATCCCAGCAAATGTCCTCCTCCCGAAATTCAGCTGGAGCACCGCTGCTGGGAGGCAGGATACTCTAGATGCAAAGCTGCTCTGTTCAAGGAGGAGCAGCCTCTGTGGAAAGAGGAACAACCTCTGCTAGGAGCATCTGCCCACCTCCTAGATGAGGGGGCTTGGGCTGCACATCTGGGATAGCAAATGGTCGCAGCAAAGTCCAGAACCTGGACGCTGCCTTTGAAAAGCCTGCAGAGCTGAGGGGAACAGCGAGCTGGTTGAACACAGGTCCTCCAAGTGGAGACAAAGCAAGGCAGAGGCTGGTCAAATGCACCTGCTCCTTCTTCTGGCTGGGGGACACATCTGTCAGTAGCACATTAAATGGGGAATACATGAGCTCTCTCCCTGTTCTACTCCCTGACTGAGTTCCCAAACCTGATGTGGCTTGGAGTGATGGGGGAAATAGGACACAGGTGTGTGCGCATGGGAAGTTCTTGCAGAAGCATGTGTTCCATGGGCTTCTTGTTCTGCCAGCCTCAGGCAGGAGAGCTAGAGGGGCAAATTCAACGTGTATTTGTGCCCAGGCCTGTCTGATCCCTGCATCCAGGAGCAGGCCCCCACACTGACATCATTTGCTTGGGCAACATTTTCTCCTAGTATCTCACCACCCCACATGACAGAAGGTCAAATGCAGCCGATGATGCATAGCATGGAGTATTGGACACTGAGTCACAACCCACACTTCAGCCATACCCAGCAGACAGAGCATTTCCCAGTTTCAGTCTGGCACACACACTCCCATCCCACACACTCACCCACGACCTGTTGCTTGACATTCCCCAATCTTCAAAAAGGGAAACGTGGAAAATTAGAGGATAAATATATAGGCTTCAGGGGACTGCACTTCAAAAACCTGCCTTCTGAAGGACCTGGGCTTACAGGGTGTAGCTGTACCACCCTTGGCCCCAAAAGCCAAGGAGCAGAACACAGCTCCCATCCATGGGGTTAAAAGCATGGCAACAAGGCTCTGTTGGGAACAGTCCCCAGCCCACCTGCTTCCCCAGCCACGCCTGGGTGCTGTGGCACTGCTCAAAACCAATGCAGGGGGGTTGCTAACAACTGCACGGCATGAGCCACCATCCTGAGGCAATGCTCGGGCCCAGCCCTGCTCCGGTTGCACTTAGTAAGACAGATGAAGCCAGAGGGACTAGAAAGGAGCCTATGAAAAGCCAGGTCCGCCCTAGGGAAATCTGCGTATGCAGACTCAGCGTCTCCCTCCCCCTCCTCTTGGGTCACAGTTTTCTTTTTTTCCCTAGCTCCGTGTGCGCCATGCCCCAGCACTGGGATCACTCTGCCCTGCTGCTCCTCACCATCACCAGCAGCAGGGCAGAAGCTGGCTGTAGTGCCAAGTGGCAGAGGCTGAGCAGCCAGGCTGGAGGCAGGGTGCTGCCGGACTGCCTCCTCCTGCTGTTTCACAGCCCGGGCTTAAGCCAGCACTGGAGTTTCCTAGGGAACCTGAGGCAGCTGCAGCCAAAACGGGATTGCTGGCAATGGGGGATTTTCAAGCCTGGGCCAAAACCCATTTATTCAAGCTCATCTTGCCACGCTTGAGCCAGCTGCACAGCCGAGTACACGTGCATTCGGCACTGGGGCACTCTGCAGCGGGAATGTCTCCTCCCTGAGCCGTGCTGGAAAAGAGAGGCTGCACACGACTGCATCACTGAGCTCCCCGGGCGGCCGCTCCATTAAACATCCCCAGCAAACACTTCACTGAGTCGCACTTGGCTGTCGCCGCAATGCGGGGATGTGTTCGTCATCCAGGCTTGGGGATTTGCTGCAGCTGGGCTCCCCCATTTGCTTCAGGACGCCCAGCTTCATGTTGCTGATTTCTGCTCAGGTCACGCTTGGGTGCCCGTGAAAAATGCCTTTGCAACAGGGTTTTTCTCCTTCTCCCTCCTGCTGTTCTTTGGAGCCAAACTGTATCTCAGCAAAATCCAGGCTCTTGAACTACTTTTTTTCCCCACAATACTTCTGCTCTCTAATCATGCCCCTTCCATCTGCCAGCTGCAATGCTGCAAGGGGTAAAGCAAGAATGGGTGAATCTGTTCACGTTTTCCAGTGCCTCTGCCGACTCCTTCGCACCGAGTGCACAGTATTGGTCATGGATCTGTTCCAGTCTGGCGCTGATCTCATCCGTAGTGCTGTGAATGACTCCATCGAGGCTCCCCCTTGCGGGCTCAGGGCCCTCGGTTCTCACTTCAGCCCTATAAATTCAAGCAGCTCTCTCTAACCTGGCAGGTCTTCCTCTCCCTGTTCAGCTTCCAGCTACAAAACCTACCAGCCCCCAAGCCACAGCTACAATGAGGGCTTCCGTCCTGTCAGTTTTATTTCATCTTTGCCTGCTGCAGATACAGCTCCTCAGCAGCAAGAGCATTCCCATATTCTCAGAACACACCCCAAATGCACCAGACATCGTTGGAAAGAAGCTATCAGTATCAGCAAACCCATTTGAGCTTTCCCCGGGGTTTAAGGAGACACTTTCACTCCCCAGACTGTCCAGAAGGGCACTGCTGCCTGCTCAGTCAAGGGATCAAGACACCCCTTGAGCTGGGAAGCAAGGCTTGAACATGAGGAAACGGGGCTGCACAGCTCACCTCTAACTCTGGTATTTGCTTCTCTCACTTGTCTCGCCGAGCCAGTTGCTATAATGACAGAACCAATGCAGAAAGGAAAACTGGGATACAGAGGTCAAGGCAATTCCCCAGAGGAAGAAAATGCAAATTATATCCCCATGCTAACAACCAGGGAAACTGAGGCAGCGAGTGTAGCTGAGTATTTCCCTGATTCTTGCTTCAAGACATGCTTAATTGCAGAGATCTAGCCAGGAGGTTTTCTGATCCCTTATCCAGCATCCTGTTTCCTCATTCTGCTCCTGTAGCTGCAGAAGGATGCCTTTGATCACCGGGGACAGGTCTTCCTACAGCTGAAAGGGAAACTGCTGAGAGAAATGGAAGGGAGCAATCCTGGTGGATGATTGCATACAACAAGAAAGTGCTGCATATGAAAGGGAAGGAGACATTTCCTATTAGATTAAAGGAGCTCAAACCTGCTCTCCCTCTAGAGAAGTATGCAACTCTATACTTGCCTCTCTAATTACAACCCTGTGCTGGGAAAGGTGGTTAATAGTATTGCAAAAGGAAGGAGATTAGCCAAGGTCAGGGAATGGCAAGGCTGCAAATCCCGAGGACTGCGAGAAGAGGTGCATGGTCTGAGGTGATGTCAGGAGAGGTGCTGCCAGCTTGTTCCAAGAGAAAGTAGCAGAGTGAAAACTGAGCCAACCCCCCAGGAACTGGCTGCTGGACTCAGCCAGATCAGGAAAAGAAAAGCAAAAACAAAAACAAAACACCAAAGCAAAACAAACAAACAAAAAAAAATAAATGAAAGACCACACTACCAAGCTTCAGGAAAGTGAAAGGTCTCTCACAGAACACCTTGCCAAAGAAAGAGGACTCACATCCTGGGCCAGAGCTGGTGATCCAAGAGGAAGTGCATATAAGCACATCTGAAAAACATCACAGGGTTCACATAAACACACACGGCAGAGAAACCAAACAAACACTGGGACTGAGAGGGGGTGACAGGGTGGTTCTGGCCGGCAGAAGACGACCTGGTGGGTGGAAAACCCCTCTCCCAGGCGGACCGGCCACTCCTGTGAGGCCTTCCCTTCCTGATGAAGAGGTACTCGGCTTGTTTGGGATTCACCTCGAGTGTGCAAGCAGCAGGAGCTGCTCAGGCAGGCGCTGCCCTGCCTGCTGGTGCCCTCTGCGGGTGGCTGCTGCAGGGCCTGACAACCTGGGAGCCACACCTGGGACTGCATCCCTGTACCACACCTGGGACTGCATCCCTGAGCTGGGACTGCACCTCTGAGCTGGGACTGCACCCCTGAGCTGGGACTGCACCCCTGAGCCACACCTGGGACTCCATCCCTTTCCCAAACACAGGGCCATACTCTGACCCCATGAGCTGCGCTCATCCAGGCCTCTGGCTTGCACTTTCCTCCACAACTGGCTATGAGCTAATTATAGATCCAGTACTTTCCCTCTGGAGTGGTGTTAATTACAACTTGGAGCGCCTCACTCCGTCCAAACCTAGCTCACAATTCCAGCTGTCGGTAAAAATAAATCGAGGGGAGAAAGTTTGCTCCTCACACATCATCTAGCCGCTCTAACAGAGAGCAAAGATTCAGATTCCGATCTCTTTTTCCACTGGCTGCACTTTGGGTCCTTGTTATATGGAAAGCAGATGCACCAAAGGGGAAAGAGACTCCTAAATCTGTGAGAAATAAAAGCAAGGTCACCGCTGACAGGACTGTTATGCACGAGTTCACTCGCCATTGTTTGCAACCAGCCGAAAAGAGGTGCAGCCTTCCATTCATCCTGCACTTGCTAACCACTGGATGTTGCCAAAGAAAGGAAAACAAACAAGCTTGAGACTCAGACAGACCGAAACCTGAGCGAAAGGGGGGGCTGTGTAAAACACCAGCCTGCAAAACCTCTCGTTCTGAGGCATCGCTGTGGGGGATGGAGAGATGCGTGCCTTCTATGCAGATCGTACATGACCTGAAGGGCTCCTAGAGATGACTTCAGGATTCTCAGAAAAATCAAAGGAATAGTGACAGGCAGGGCTGACTCACAAGATTAAAATAACCTGTGTAAAACGTGCCTGAACACAGGAAAGGGAAGGATGTTGCAATTTTCTATGACAGGCACTTTAAAAGGGCTTTGTGATGCAAGGCAGTAACAGTTAAAAAAAGAACTACATTCAGGCGCCAAAAAGTGCTTTTTAATGACCAAAAAAGCCCTTACCAAAACAATGGCTATCCATCAGGGAAAGCCATTAGGCGTGACAACAGGGCAGTTCCCTGGTCAGCCGAGGGATTAGCAGTGTAAATGAGTAACCCAGCACGGGAGCGCTGGGCTCAGACGCCTGTCTCCACATCAGAGCCCGGAACGCCCAAGGGGCTGCACCGTGCTCTTATCTCCGAGGCTCTGGCCAGCCCCAAACCCCAAAGGCCGCCGCTGCCACACCCTCACCGGGCACCCCTCACACAGGCGCTCCCCAAAGGTCGCTCGGGGTGTGAAGAGCAGGGGAAAGAACTGCAAAAGCAGCGAGCCGGGGCTGCTCCTGCCAGGAGCTCTGGAGCACAAGGAAAACAGGCGCAGTTAGGTGCCACATTGCGCTGGCCTGGATCACCAGAGCCACACGGAGAGCGGGGACAAACGGGGTCTGTCTTCCTAGAACGCTCCAGACATTTCTAGAGCATCACCAACACCGCCCCCCCCCCGCTCCACACCCTGCTCGGCCAGGCAGAAGGGCCAGGCGCTGCCTGAAAATCAGCCGCTATTTAAAGTGCAGTGCAGGGGACCGCACTTGCTGCCATGTATATTTATATTTATATTATTTATAATTTATTCCTGGCCGGCACCCGACCCCGGCTCGACTCCTCGGCCCTGGCGGGCGCACACCGCGCATGCGCCGGCCCCGGCGGGCCCGTGTCCTTTTAAAGGACACGCCGCTCGCCGCCCGCCGGAAGTGCCCGTTCTCCGTACCGGAAGTGGCTTCACCTGCCAGTAACACCGCTTCTTCCGGGAGAGGCCCGTTCGCCCGGTTTCCGCTCTGCCTCTGCTTTCCGGAGCTCTGCCCCGCCCCGCGCTCGCTTGCCCTGTGTGTCCTTCTCCGGGAGAGCCTTCCGCTTCCTTCCGCATCCCGCGCCTTTCCTCGCCCCTGCGCGGTGAGCCCATGGTGGAGCGGGAGTGCGGGCCAGCAGGGGGCGCGCTGGCGGCGGAGCGGCGCTCTGCACGGCCGACTTCCGGCTCTCTGTGGCCAGACGGATCGGGACTCTTCATGGCGCGGCCGCGCCGGGCCCGGCGGGAGGGCGGCGGCGGAGCGGCGCTGCCCTGCTGAGGAGCCGCGGGCCTCCGACATGGAGCCCGAGACGCTGGAGGCGCGCATCAGTGAGTGCGGCTGAGACCACCGCTCCCCTGCCAATGGGGCGGGGAGGGCGCGGGCGTGGGGAGGGGCGCAGGGCTCTGAGGGAGAGGGGCTGGGGGTCGCCTGGTGGCCGCGGCTGCGGGTGAGACCCCAGGGCCGGGCCGGAGGCAGGGGTGCGGTAGGTCAGCAGGGAGGAGGGGGCTAGAGTATGTGCACATACTCTCATACGTGGGCATAGGGCTGCCGTGGGAAGGGGCGAGTGGACACGAGTGTGTCTCCTCCCAGGCCATCCCCTGCTGCCGCACCCGCTGGAGTTGCCAGGGAAGGAGTGGGATCGATGATATCCCTCCACAGGGTGGGAGCCTGTTGGGTTTTTTTTTCTCACCGTCCCCTCCTCCTGCCCGCAGACAAAGCCACAAACCCCCTGAACAAGGACCTGGACTGGGATGGTATCAATGCGTTCTGTGAGCAGCTCAATAAGGACCTAGAGGGGTAAGTGCTTTGTCCTTTCCCCAGGCTTCTCCAGGTCACAGGCCTGGTTATGATTTCCCACCCAGCAAAATCCAGAGGGATTGTCCCAAGAGCTGAATAGGCATGAAGGCCCTCGAGGTGGGGGTAGGTGGGGGGTCCTGGTCTACTAATAGAAGGTTTCCTCCGGATTTTGAGCTGTCTTAGTGCCTTATCAGCATCTTCAACTTGCAACATGCTTTTCAACTCTGGATTCCCAGACAAAAAAATGCAGGTACCAGGCTTTTTGTCAATAACCGGCGAGCTTTTCTTTTCCCCTCACTCCTTCCAGTCCTCCACTTGCCACCCGGCTTCTTGCCCACAAGATCCAGTCTCCACAGGAATGGGAAGCTATCCAGGCCCTCACGGTAAGGGCATCTGCAGGCTGGTAGAACTAGATGGAGGGGCAGGGTGTGGAGATGCTCCAGCTTGACTGGAGAAGTACAGGAAGCTTTGAATTCCCTCTGAGAAAGCCCTGGAGCATGTGGGCCCTTGGGTGGGAGAGGGACTGAAGGTGGTTCCACAAGTCAGGAGAAGTTACTTGGAAAGGTTTTGCTCCTGGAAGGATCACAGCCTGTTGAATAGGAAGCTTTTTGGCTTTTGTTGTGGTGGCCTTGGTAGTGCTGCACTAATGGTTGGACTGTATGATCTTGATGATATTTTCCAACCTAAAGGATTCAATGATTCTTAATCATGTTGTGGATCCACACTTTGAAACCCTGGTCCTTGTGCAACCTCTAAGGGTGTCCCTTTTAATGGGCTGTTGAGCCGTCTCTGCAAAAACTAACCCCAAAGATGAGAATCTTGCTTCCCTGTGGGAGGGTGCTTGACCACCTGGGAGGGAACAGGGGATGTCCCTTTGTGCTGCTGTGACAGTAGCCACAGACTCTGTACCTGGTGAGGGGGAAGCAGGAAGGAGCTGGCTCCTGATCCTGGTGCTGACCCCAGGCTGGGACTCACCTGGCCCCTCTCCCCAGGTGCTGGAGTCCTGCATGAAGAGCTGTGGCAAACGCTTCCACGATGAGGTGGGCAAGTTCCGCTTCCTCAATGAGCTCATCAAGGTGGTGTCCCCTAAGGTGGGTGTCACGGTGTTGTGCTGGAAGGGACTGGTGCCTGGTGGCAGGAGGGCTTTGGGAAAAAGTGGTGGCTGAGCAGAAAGGTCAGATGTCCACTGGGATGTGGGCAAAACAGGACAGTGTTAGTAGGAGATCTTGTCCTTGTTTCCTGGTGAGTTTTCTGGTGGTGAGTGAGTTTCCACCCCTCTATTCCTGGCTGATTCTTGTTGTAGGAAGCTGAGGGCCAACTGGACATGGTGCAGCCAGCACTTGTGAGAATACTGAGCCCATGTGCATGCCTGGAGTCACCTTCCTGGCATCCCTGTTGGGCTCTGTCTGTGCTGCATGTGCTCAGGAACCTCCCCCAGCTTTGACAGGACCATGTCTCTTTGGGGTGTCCCAACCCGATTGAGACACTCTTGGAGGGCAAGCCCAGGCTTGGTCAGTGGTGTTCTGGTGAGTCCCATCTGAAGGACCAAGTCATTACCTGCTCCTGTGCTGATGCTGCTGTTCCTGCAGCAGAACAAGCTGTGTGGGCTCCCCCATTCAGTCAAGGTAGTGAACGCCAGCAGGTGTAGAGTTAAGGGAACACAGGCTAAATATGACTAAGGAAAACCTTTGTCTGCCAGTCACAGCTTGTGATCTGTGATGATGAATAGCCCTGGACAGTGACAGCAGCATCCTAAAGTCCTCTTGCCTGGCACCCTAGAGTATGTCCTCTGCTTTAAGCCACTTGTCTGGTGGCACATGCACTGTTGCTGCCACCAGTGCTCCCATCAGACCTGTGTGAGAAGGCTGAGAGATGATTGAATGGCACCTGCTGGGTGCTGGTCATCTGGGGCTCACTTTGCTCAGGGCCCTGCCTCAGAGACCATTACCCACATGCCTCTCCCAGCCCTGCTGTCCCCTCATTCCTAAAGGGCTGCCTTGCTGAGCAGCTTCTTTTCACAGGACTCTTCCCTTCACAAGGTGACAGGAGACTTGCCTGAGCTTTCCCACCTGTCCCTGTGTGTTGCTGAGGAGCTGCTGCTGCAGCATTTCTCACACTCTCTTGTTTTTCCTGTGATGAAAACCAGGCACAGCATAAGATGAGTTGTAACACCCTCATGAGCTTTCCTGCTTGCTTCCTCTTTCCTCCTTGTGCCGTTGGGAACAGTCTCACTTCTCCTTGGAGGGCAAGAGAGGAACAGGCCAGACTTGCAATGGCTCAGATCAGCTTCAAGCCACTTATTTTCTCTTCCTTTAGTATCTTGGCAGCCGGACATCAGAAAAAGTGAAGTCAAAGATCCTGGAGCTGATGTACAGCTGGACATTAGGGCTGCCTCATGAGGTGAAGATATCAGAAGCCTACCAGATGCTGAAGAAGCAAGGTGAGAGGCAGTGGTCTGGAAGGGGCAGGTGGACAGATGGTTTTTCCCTCCTTCATTTTTTGTCTGGGCAAAATCTGAAAAAAGCTCTCGCTTCCCTCTGCACAGACCCAGGACCTCCATCAGTCTGACTCAGCATCAGGGTCAGGAGAATAAGCAGGTGCCTTGGGGCTCCTGGCTGAGCAGAGGGAGTTGCTGGTGATGAGTTGCTGGGTTGGTTGGCACATCTGCTTGCTCACATGGGAGATGGGGCACTGAAAGGGTCTGGGCTTGAAGGGCTGCAAGTGCTTTGGCAGTATATACTGGAATTTTCTTGGAGGGGATATTTATGGGGAATTGAAACACAATCCAGGATCTTGGGTAACAGGATAACCCACACACCCGTAGTCTCAGCTGGATTTGGTGGGCCATTAGGGAAAAAAGACCTGAATGGCAGTGCCATCCCTGAGTGAGTGGGTCCTCCTGATCTCTCCTTTGGTTTCTACTGCAGGGATTGTGAAGTGTGACCCCAAACTTCCCGATGATGCTCCTTTTCCACCGCCTCCTCCTCGACCCAAGAACATCATCTTTGATGATGAAGAAAAATCCAAGGTAAGGGCTTTGTCCAAGGAGAGGGACAGTAGGCATCATCTTCCTGCTCCAGTACCTTATGTCCCCCAGATACATGAGCATCAAGGTCCCTGCTCCACATGCTGTCCTTCAGAAAATGCATTATGGGAATGCTGAGGGCCTGTTCCAAAATCATGACGAAGGAAACAACTAGAGGAGTGGGGCATGTGGGTCTGTTTGACCTTTGGAGCACTTAGCTGCAGGATGGTGCAAAGGGTAATGCACTGACATTGGCCCAAGCAGGTTCCAGGAGGTTTGCTGCTGTTAGCTCTCTAGATTTCGGAGTTATCTGACCATGAGGTTTAAATCCCAGCCCCAGATGCTGCTGCTGTTATCTCATCCCCACCCCCATCACTGCAATCTTATTGCCCAACCATTTATAGCCACCTGGACCCATCCTCTGTTGTCTTTCCATGAGAATTGTGTCACCACTCAGGCAAACCTCTGCATTATCAGTGCTGATACTTTTAAGCAAGTATTGGACTCCTCTGGGTCTAGTTCTGCAGCAGGAGCGTGATGACAGTTTACTGCAAGGGATATAGTTTGCCTCCATAGGTCAGAGTCTGCAAATGAGGATTTGTAGGTGGGCAGTGGGACTGTTCACTGACCATACAGAGGGAGAGAAAGTGGGAGCTCTTCACCAGCAAAGAGGTGTGTGAAGATGTCCAAGTAGGAGTCCATTACAACGCCATGGCAATTCTTGCAGAAACCAGGCTTTCTGGTCTCTTTCTGGCTTTTTAGTCTCAGTGCTGCTGCACTCCAGACTCTTCACAGTGGGTAAGGGGCAGGCCAGAGCAGGTTCTGAAAGAAGGGGATCTTCAGGGAAAGACCTAGCTTGCATAACCAGAGCTACAACAGCAAAAGGAATGTCAGTTGTACTTCTCTCCCTGGTCTCTGATAGCCCACAAGCTCCTGTGGCTGGGCTCTCTAAATGGTTAAAATTGTCCACTGCCTCTCCCAGGTTTGGGATGGGGGAACTGTTGGCTCTAGTGTTGCAAGTGTGACTCTGGCTGCCATCCCTCAGCTTGGACTCAGAAGTACCTTCTCTTTTGCAGACGCTGGCTCGCCTCCTGAAAAGTTCCCATCCTGAGGATCTCCGGGCTGCCAACAAGCTCATCAAGGAAATGGTTCAGGAGGTGTGATGGGGGAAGAAGGGAGCTGGGGGGTCATGGTCTGGGTGGCGATGGTTGGCACCAAAGGAGGACTGGCTTTGTGACCTCATGCAGACATATGGAGCTTCTGCCCAAAATTTGGCTGCAGCAGCTGTGAAAGAGTCCTTGTGTGAGTTCTGCCATCCTCTGGCTACTTGGAGGAATGGGTCTGGGTGCATTTTGTGGCCCAAACCCTGCTGCAGCACTAGATCTACAGGAATTCCATCCCTGTCTGGCATGTTCCTGCCCAGAGATGACCTGGAGTTTTCCACTGGAGTGGGAGCTGTTTTGAGGGCAGTGTTGCTGGGCTTTAGTCCAGGGTGGTTGGCTGGCATGGCCTTCCTCCTCTCCAAGTTAGGACATCCTTCCCCATGTGCTTCCTGTCCAGGACCAAAAGCGCATGGAGAAAATCTCCAAGAGGGTGAATGCCATTGAGGAGGTGAACAACAATGTGAAGCTGCTGACAGAGATGGTGACAAACTACAGCAAGGGGGAAACAACAGAAAGCAATGAGGACCTAATGAAGGTGAGGAAATGCAATCCCAGAATCCTCCTTGAGCTCAGCAGAAATGGGTGACCCTTATCCCCTTATCCTCCTACCTATTTTGCACACCCAGCTGAGCATCCCGCTGCTCAGGGTGCTCACCTCATCACTGTATCTCCACTCCCCCAGGAGCTGTATCAGCGCTGTGAGCGCATGAGGCCCATGCTTTTCCGGCTCGCTAGTGACACAGAAGACAATGATGAAGCTCTAGGTAAACATATCTGGCCTTTCTCTTTCCTGCTGAGACTGCCCTGGAGGTGTCAATGTACCCTGCTGCAGCCTGCAGCATCAGTGGTGAAAATGCTCTTTGCAGTGGTTTTGTTTGCAGCAACTTGGGCCTTGTTTTGAAGAAACAGACTTGAGGTATAAAAGTAACTCTCTTCACTCTTCTCACGCTTATTTTCAGCGGAGATTCTGCAAGCCAATGACAATCTGACCCAGGTGATCAATCTCTACAAGCAGCTTGTACGGGGAGAAGAGATCAACGGGGAGACAGTGGCAAGTCCTCTTCGAGGTGAGGAGACTTGAAGAATGGGGACAGGAAAGTCAAGCAGAGGGACCCTGTTGCTGGTGTCCTGCAGAGTAAGAGAAGACTGAGAGAAGTGGAAAGGGGAAACCTGTGGGAGCTTAGCGTGGGGCTGGTGAGATAAGGAAATGGCTTATGGATGTGACTGGTGCATGAAGAAAGGGAACTGGAAGGGAGAGCAGGGGGGTATGAGGAGGCTATGAGTGTAGCCTCACTACACTGCATAAGGACTGGATAACTTTTCAGATTCTTTTCTTTTTGTAGGCAGCACTTCAGCACTTCTAGATCTATCTGGCCTGGAGCTTCCAGCAACATGCCCTTCCTACCCAGCTTTGCCCACCCTTTCAGGTGGCTCAGCAGTCCCCGTGCCTGACCAAGCTGGCTCTGTCTCCTTGTTGGATGATGAACTCATGTCTTTAGGTAAGAAATGCAGGGCAAAAGCTCTTTATTCTTTGACTCTGGATAGTTCTTCTTTGGCAGGAACATGAAGAAAAGATAGCTCTGGTAGAAGTGAATAATGAAAGACAGAGAGGTGTCCTTCATTTAGTGTGAGGGAGAGGAGGGAAAGACCCTGCTATGATTCTGAACTTCAGTCCCATGGTGGTGTTTTCTTGGCTAGTCAGAGAGAGCCTGTAGGGATGTGCCCACTGATTTGCTTTAGGTAAACTGACCTGGCAGGTAAATCAAGAGTGATGCAATGGCCATCCCCAGCTGGGATCACAAGGGTAGATCACCCCTGGCTCCTCATGTTTTCTGTTTGCTGTTAAAGTCATGAGCTGACAACAGATGCATGGAACTTCCAGAGCTGTTCACATGAAATCATGTGAGGTGCCACTCCTAGGAAGGTCTAGAGTCCTGCTTTGCACAACCAAGTGTCTGTTTCCTAAGGCAAGTGCTTTTGAGTACAACAGCATCAAGTAGACAACATGGTCAGTCAGATTGGTCAGCTCAGTAGTATTCTGGATTTTTCTGCCAATTGCAGTGAGAAATAAACTATAAATGAATGTATCTGGACAGAAAAAACCACTATCACCCTCCTGGCTCTCCCCCATGCAAGGATGGGGACCAGAGATGGATACCACATTGGCAGTTCTGCCCTGTGCTTCTGTGTCTTACTCAGGCCACATTTAATGTTCTTAATGATTTGGTAGGTAAACTCCATGTTTGCTTTTACTCCTGGCAGGCCTGAATGACCCAGCACCACATCCTGTCCAGGCTGGTGACAGCAGTGGCTGGAACAGCTTCCAGGTAATGCGCTGGGAGCTAGCGCAGAGGGTGAGGAAGGTGATAAAAGCAACAAATGTAGGTAGGGAAACATGCCACATCTGATATGTCGCCCTGCTTTGGGGCTCTCCTGTGTGCTCTTTTCAGTCTTCAGACAGCAATGAGCTCAGTATCACCCCTATCATGGCAACACCACCAGTCAAAGCAGATGCTGGTGCATCCTCCCCCAAACCATCTCTTAGCAGCAGTGGCCTCGATGACCTGGACCTCCTGGGCAAGACACTGCTGCAGCAGTCTTTGCCTCCAGAATCTCAGCAAGTGCGATGGTAAGCACTTGGTGGTGCAGTCTCGTATCTCTCCCTATTGTTTCCATTTTTTGAGGTGCTGGGCAGCATTTCAGTGCCCTGTTCCACTTCTTGCTCTCTCTCCCCCCTTGCAGGGAGAAGCAGCAACCACCCCCTCGGCTCACCCTGAGGGACCTGCAGAACAGGAGCAATTCTGGCACCGCAGCCCACAATCCCAGTGCTCCGCCTGTGCTCCAGAGTATTTCCCCTAACCCCACGCTGCCTATGACCTCAGAGCTGCCTGCCCCTGCTACACTTCCAAAAGCTGCCACCACACCAGCAGGAAGTACTGCAGTCCCACCACGGGCTCCTGCCACTGCGCTGCCCCAGGAGATCTCGCTGGCCAACATCACTGTGCCTCTGGAGTCAATCAAACCCAGTGAGCCGGGGAAAAAGAGGGGGGCAGGCATGGGGGGATTAAACCCCACACATGGAAGGGAAGAATGTGAAGAAACTTCTTGCTTGTTGGATTTTGTGGAGGCTGAAGAGGAATGGTGTCTCTGTCACTTGTATGGAGTTAGGGCAATAGGGAAAGGTGGCTGTCAGGCCAGTTCCCTCCTGGTTGACTGGTGCCTGTCCCTGCCTTTCCCACAGGCAGCATCCTCCCTGTGACAGTGTATGATCAGCATGGCTTCCGTGTCCTCTTCCACTTTGCTAAGGATGCCCTGCCTGAGAGACCTGATGTGCTTGTGGTGGTGATTTCTATGCTTAGCACGGCCCCGCAGCCCATCCGCAATATTGTCTTTCAGTCTGCCGTTCCCAAGGTAAGACAGCTGCTGGGGCTGAGTTCCCCAGATTGGGCCAAAGCATGATTCTACTTCTGCAGGAAAAACAGGGTGGGTGAAGAGAGCTCTGTGGGCATAGGAGCAAATTCTGTTACCTTCAGATTAGCACAATGTTTTTCTCTTTGACTAGAGAGCAGAAGCTTCCCAAGTACAGGAGCAGGGCTTCTGGCTGCCAAGTCTCACTCTCGGGAATGTGGTCTTCTCTCACTCTCTCCCTAGATAATGAAGGTGAAGCTACAGCCTCCCTCAGGCACAGAGCTGCCAGCGTTCAATCCCATCGTCCACCCCAGCGCCATCACCCAAGTCCTGCTGCTCGCTAACCCACAGAAGGTAACAGCATTGTTTCTGGGGCACAAACAGAGGCTGGTCTTGGTGCTTGGGCAAAGCCTCACTACCCTATATCCCTGTTCCCTCTACTCAGCAGCATCTGAGATGTGACTGGTTTGTGCCTCATGCCTTTCTTCCCCTTCTTCTGACTGCTTATTCTTTTTCTCCCATCTCCAGGAGAAAGTGAGGCTACGGTACAAACTGACCTTCACCATGGGAGAGCAAACCTACAATGAAATTGGAGATGTGGACCAGTTTCCCCCACCAGAATCCTGGGGAAACCTCTAGGGCCACATGTTGCAGGCACTACACTGCAGATTCCTTAGGAAGCCAACCCTGTGGGGCTGGAGCAGCCAGACAAAATGGGAGGGTGGGTGGGGGCTGGTGCTCACGCTCTATTCTCCAGATGGCCGGGCAAGGGCCTGGAGGGAGCATGCCTCAAGGAGGAGAGCAGAGATGCCAGGAGATGTTCATCTCACAAGACTAGAAGTGGAGTGGAAAGCTTCATGTGTGTGAACAGTTGCCTTCCCTGCTCTTCTGAAGATGACACTCCCTCCCCAGTCTGTCCAGCTTCTCTTCTAACCCTGCTTTCCTGCTTTAGGTGCATAGGGGAACAAGGACAGGGAGCTTTAACAACCTCAGCCCAGGGCAAGGCCTAGCAAAAGAAGTTCCTTTTCCTTGTCTTCCCCCTCCACACTTCTCAGCCCTTCAGCTATTTTGTGCTCTATGGTGCTCTCTCTTGTCCCCCTTGCCCCCTCCTTGGAGCTGGGCCCCAGTGATTCCATCTGGTGGGATCACACTGGAGCTGAGGAACAAGGCTGGGCAGAGCCTAGGTATCTCTCCAGCACCAGAGAGCAGACAGCTGTCTTTGCTTGGGGGGGGGGGGGGG